CCAATATGTCAGCCTCCATGGCCTCATACTCATAGTCATAACCTCATAAATATTGCCTTCACTTATTTACCTTTTTTTTTTTATTGAGACGTTCCAAGTGCCTGTCGTAGACGTAGGTACCGATGTACGCGCGGTTTGTGTTGTCGAATAATGACCTGAGCAGTTGGCCCTGGGCAATTGACCAATTCGCGATTGCCAAGTACTGTCTTAGACTTAGTGTCTATAATATCTGTGTATACTGTCTATAATATCTACATAGTTATGTACTATTAGTATTAGTATTACTATTTATTAGTATTATTGCGAGTTTTTGGGCTCAGAAAAACTAAATATAGCTGAATATAGTCTCACCTGAGAGTAATTAACCTGTATGATAGGGCCTACAGGCGGTTCCGGTTCCGCTTCACTACACTAACCGCCTGTACCCATTGCTTCTTCAGCCCGCTTTGCGAACGAAGAAATCATCGCGCATAATCAAAGAGCTCTAACGGGCCGATCAGCCAATCAGCGAGCAGGCTTTTGCCTGACGTCATTTCTCAAGTTATTCAAGTTGAATTTATAACTGCAATTAGTGCACGCTTCTGCCAAAGCCATTAACTAGATTGTTTCCATTCACCAGGTATTCGCCTGGGGCGAAGTTTTGCCGTATTTACTTCTGTACGCTCGATTGCTCGCCGCTAATCAGATTCCCCGCCATAACAATCGGTCGATCGATAACGAGGCTTGCGAACTGCCAGGGTTGAGCTCGCGTACAGGCGGTTATACGTGTAGTGAAGCGGAACATACCGCCTGTATCATACAGGTTAACCTAAACCGACCAGGCTCTCCGACTAGTTACACGGCGGAGTAGTGTTAAGCGGGATGGGAACTTGTGGCTAAGGTTAACCTAGCTGATAGTGGAAATATCACTGATTATAGTGATTACACCAACATTAAAAACACTAACTAAGATTTTATGCAGTTATAATTAACTTATAGCATAGAAAAATGGATTTGACCACATCGTAACAGCAATAAATTTTATTGTGTGCCGATAATGCCTAATAATGGCAGAATTGATCATTTAAACTTGTATTTATGTTGGGGAGTAATTGAAAACAAGTGCATGATTTTAGAGAGCCTGTACTGTATGTCTACGGCAGATAAGCGGTGGCGCCACAAGCTAATCCATACTTCCGGCTAGTTCAAGAAGACAGAAAACGAATGTTTACCAAACTAGTAGTTCGAAACTGGCACTTTTTTGGTGAATACGAAGGTTCTAAGACATTTTATTGTTACTCTAGACAATTGCTGTTACTCAAGCAATAAAGGTAGCTAGGTGTCATGAAAGTGGTGAAAACACTGGAAAACTCTCGCAATATAGTTACTTTAATATTTGGCTTGGGTCAACTACCTCTTCCCTCGTTAGCTACATCCCTGATTATAATAAGCCTAAGAATAGACAGTAAGTTTATTCTATCTATTTCTACACGAAAGGAAATGTTAGGGGAATGCCAAATGGAGCATAACTAATGCATTAGTGTTACCATAAGATTCAAGATTCAAATAAATTTATTTGTGCATAAGAGTCAAGACGCATAATTACAAGTTATATACAATCACATATTAATTATAAATCCGTGAACCAAAAAATAAATACAATAATTACTAAATGGAGCACGGGGACGACGAAAAACGCGCAGGCCATATAAGCTTTACCAGTGGTTGGAGAGTGGCAGCACTGTCAGCAATCGTCCAATCACCTGTCTGATCTTGTATCTTGGGTCCCATCCTCGTCATTTACAACACACTAGCTCGCTAGGACTTGTGTAAAATAACGCTAATGGTTCCACTTCCAATCCTCACATCAATCGGACAGCGGCGTCGTGTGCACTCGATCGTTTCATTATCGCAGTAGTAAGTTTCTTATCATAAGATTTTTATTTCAGAACACGAGCTCTGGCAACCTGGGGACTCTGAGGATCATACTCCATAAAATTACAATGCAAGCGACCAGTGCATGCATTGCATGTGTGTAAGTCTTCGAATTATAGTAAAGATTTGAGCGTCAATACAAATAAGCAAACACGATGCAAAGTACAAAGATTTGCCAGTGAGGGAGGGGGCGGCGAATTATAGCGAAACGTGCTGATTATATATATATATCCTGAAAATGAGGATGTAATTAAGTTTCAAATTTCTTGATCAAATTTGCAATCATATTCTGCAAACCTACAAGAGCCTAGCTATAGTTGACGTGTGATGCATAGGCCATGGTGGGTATTTTTGGTACTGTCAGTGTTTTGTCTTCTCTCACAAGTAATCACAGGCCGTAGTCTATAGATTTGTTGGAATAACTCTTCGCTAATATCATTTTTTTATTTTCCAAAATGTCTCCCAAGTGCGGAGTGAGCGACGACGTCACAGTAATTTGAATCATGACAAGTTCGACGAGTAGCGTTAGTAATACCAGTACTACAAGGCCCACGATTAAGGCCAAAGATTCCGCGACCGCGGCCACGATAGGTGACGCGCCGTTTAGTTCTCTGCGGCTGGCATCTTTCCGCGCGCTGGAAAATCTCCGCGGAAGGAGCCGATGTACGGAATGCAATCGGTCGAGGAAATATTTCTGTTATACCTGCTACGTTCCGGTGCAAGAACTAGTGGGAAAGCTTCCTAAAGTCAAGGTAAATTAATTGCTTCAGCTGATAATGCTTGCGATTTGTTCCTCAACCTGAATCTTGTACGCATTGCTTTTTTATGTATAATTGCATTTCGCGACCATCTTTTTAATTGTCATTAACATTTCTTATGCGGATCGTGAACTCATTATCATGAAATGTATAAATACGACATTGCATCGCCTATTTCAATAACTTTCCTTCGATCTGTGTGTGTGTGTGTATAGGACAATCATGGCATATTACAGATGTTTCAGCTGAAATGACTGCATTGAAGAGATATACTTCATTCCCCTAATCCCATAATTTGCATTAATTCCAAATCCATCCATTACAATTCCATGTATTACATCCATTTGTATCCAATTGTAGACCATTCCATGGATAACCATGGATTCCATGGAGATTGTAGACAATTGTAATCCATGGAAAATGGAGTAATTGTAAATCCATCAGCCAACCATACCACTAGCCGGACATGAAGAACATTTTTTGGCATTTTGTTTCCGCAGCTTCCCGTTAAGATCGACATCATCAAGCATCCGCGGGAGCTCGACGCGAAGAGCACGTCCTCGCACGCCGCCATCTTGGCTCCGGACGACGTCACAGTCCACACTTACCCGAGGATTCCCGAGTTCACCGATAAAAGCAAGGTACCGGCGTCACGCACACCACAAGTCGATCGTTAGGAAAGCAGTGCGATGTTAACCTACTACCAATTTGCAAATATGTACATACATGTATATGTGTGTGTCTATGTGTGTGTTGTCTGCATGCGTGTTTGTCAGTTTGTGCATGTGTGCATGCGTGCATGCATGCGTGCATGCATGCGTATGCATGTAAGTGTGTGTGTACGTACGTGCATGTTTGTGTGTATCCGCGAATCACAGTCAAACAGACGCAGAGAGCCAGAGACCCCATTTTTTTCTATGAACATGGTGATGGTATCTGGTGGTTAGGGCGTAGGCTACATGTGGGCACGATTCTTAACTCTGAGTGCATACTTGGATTTTATGCCAAAATGCACTTAGAACCGGTTTGGCCCGTGGAAATAGAAACAGAAATAGAAATAGGAATCACTATCTATATCTATGGATTGGCCAAATGAGAGCACTGCCAAATGCCAGCTCTCTCTTGGTTAAGTATCCAGCTGGCCATACATCCATTTGCTGTACAGTCAATGGCAAGACTTTGCAATAGTCTACATCAAGATTCATGGTCTTGCACTATATGCACCTGTCAGTTCCCGTACACAGAGATGGCAGAATAGTGGGTGTGAAGACGTGTACTTGGCTAGGGAGTAGGGGAGAGTGATAGGGGAAGAGTAGCTGTGAGGCTAGGGGAAAGTGACGATGGACGTCTCGGGGTGGTGGAAATGAGCAGTGGGAATGAGGTCAGCTGGTGGTGGTGTTGGTGGGGGAGGGGGGTTGAGAGAGGTTGGCACGGGGGTTGAGGGAAGGTGGTCGGGGTTTGAGGGAAGGTGGCAGGGGACAAGGAACATTTCAAAACGTTCTACAACATTCAAAACTGTGTGAGAGTTGATAATATTATAGAAACACTACTCCAGAACACTCTCCAACATTTCAGAACTTTTTGGAACGTTTTAGTCTTGCATGCACATACATATATATGTGTGTGCATGCATGCATGCCTGTGTGCATGTATATATATATATGTACCTTCAGGAGTTAGTTCCCAAAATAGTTGTTATATGTTTAGAGTCCATTTGATCTATTTATATTTCTTACTATTCTAGGTGATTTTGGTTTATCCTGGATCCAAGTCAGTCACAGTTGAAGAATTGGCAGCCAGGGTATTGGGTCCATACCACAAGACAAGCCGGGCAGCGAAGGCTGAAGCGCACACGTCTCTGATCGGCTCCACAAATCCTGGCAGTAGTTCGTCTGCCGATAATGCAGCCGCACGCGACGAAGCAGGGACAGTCCCAGCATCTGACGCGCACACTGAATGTCGGGCGGTAGAGTCTTCTCCCGCGGAAAAACGCATGAAGCCTTGTTCCTCGACGGAGTCGGAGCATAAAGGTAACGTGAGGCCGTCGCGTTGGCAGCAGACGGTTTATAGCTGCCCACATCGCCGAATAAAAAGACTGTTAGCGATATCTTCATAATCTGGGAAGTGCCGTCTATCAGTTACCTCGTTCTGTTTACGGAAGGAGGCCATTTACAATTCTCTCTACTTTCAGCTTATTCTTGTACTGAGAGTCATCGCTTTGGAATCGTTATTGTCGATTCTAACATTTACCGTAATGATTCTAATAATAATAAGCCTTATAAATTGATAATAAACCATGTTTTACAAGACGCTCTCATGTGAGCTTTTATTGCTGTTACTTAAAGAACTTCCATGTCCACAGAAGAAATTTTCGGAGCTTCGAAACGTAACGACGAGGAGGCGGAACCGGCGAGCAAGAAACAAAAGGCTCACGCGTGTCCGTTCGAACGCGTGATATTCATTGACAGCACGTGGAACCAGGCGCGAGAAATATACACAGACGACCGACTGCAAGGTATGCAGATTAAGTGGTACCATCTATGGGCAATCATAGTCGATGTCTGACATGACATCACACATACATCTCTAGTTGGGCATCCGCAGTAACGATTAATACGAAATGTGTGCAATAGTGTAATATAAATAAAATGCAGTATAAATTAAAAAGTAATAAATTATAAATATGACAATTTTAAAGATAAATGTAATATAATTGGTTCTAAGTAAATAGAATAAATAAAAATATAAATCATTTATATACATACATATATAGATATATATATATACATACACACAAAAATAACGCGCATGAAAGATGGCGCTAACTAAACTAAGGGTGACTGACCTCCGCACATCTCTTGCCAGGCCTCACACAGGTGGAGCTGCGATCGCATCGGACGTTCTTCTGGCGCGTGCAGCTGCTGTCCGACGCGTACCTCGCGACGATCGAGGCCATCTACTACTTTCTGCGCGAGTACCACGACGAGTTCGTCGCCACGGCGACGGGGCCAGGGGAGGCGGCGCCACCGTACGCGGGCGAGTACGACAATCTCCTCTACTTCTTCGTATTCATGTACGACCTCATCGCGAAGGAGTTCGGGGCGCAGTCGCGCGACGCGGCGCCGCCGCCAGATGGCGTGCCACCACCAGAGGGCGTGCCACCACTAGAGGGCGTGCCGCCGACAGAGGGCGTGCCACCGCCAGAGGGTGTGCCACCTCCGCCAGATCAGCCGCACTGATGCGCAGACGCCCCGGTTCGTTTTACGGATGCTGCGGTGAAGAGCAAGCACCACGGTGAAGAGATGACGCACCAGTACACTCTGCAGATGCCACGGTGACTAGGAGACTTCTCGATACACTAGGCAGACGTACCGGTACACTGTAAATGTCGCCTCACTGTGTAGATACTATGGTACACTCTGCATGTGCCACGCTGACTAGCAAACGCACCGGTACACTTTGAAAATGCCGTAGTTTAGTGTAGATACTACGCTACACTCTGCAGACGCTACGCTACACTCCGTAGATGCCACAGTGATAAGCAGATGCACAGTGTACACTCATAATCAGATGCCGTGTTACACCCCAGAGACGCCACGCTACACTCTGCAGACGCCACACTACATTCTGCAGATGCCACGCTACACTGCAGACGCCACGCTACACTGCAGACGCCACGCTACACTCTGCAGACGCCACGCTACACTGCAGACGCCACGCCACGCTACACTCTGCAGACGCCACGCTACACTCTGCAGACGCTACGCTACACTCTGCAGACGCCACGCTACATTCTGCAGACGCCACGCTACACTCCAGACACCACGCTACACTCTGCAGACGCCACGCTACACTCCGTAGACGCCACAGTGATGAACAGACGTACTGGGCACACTCCTCGGATGCTGCGGTAAACACTGCAGATCCCACGGTGACGAGCAGTTGCTAGGGTAACCATCGCAGGCGAACTGCTGTTCTAGCGGATGCTACAGTAGACACCGCTGATGAACTGCTGTTGAAGCGGATGCTCCATTGTTACATTGCTCATGATTGTAAATTATTTGGTATGACCAGAGTGGTGAGCTGTGATCGTGTGTAAACTTTATACGAAGAAAACGTAAAAATAAATGTGGTAGTCGTCGTCCCTACAAAAGTCATTCTACTGTATGTTTTAATGCAAACCCGCAAGGAAAGATGATGATTTTGTTATGTTGTCATCATAGTTATGACTCCAGAAACTGTTGTTGTACTCTGTTATGATGTTTAATCCCACACACGTCCACATAAATTCACAATTTCATCAAAGATATACTTGATACGTACACCGGTAACATTTTACTCGTTGATGTTGAAAGTAGCATTAAACAGGCAAATACAACATTGTCGACGCCTGTGGTTCGTGGTTTGTGTCCCATATTTCCTGCCCCTTAGGCAACATTGTGTCTCGAAATATTTTACAGGGACGGGAGTATCATACACACGGTATATACAATACCAAGAGGCGTCTTAACCATAGGGTACCAGTCCTGTCATCACATAGAAACCGTGTCAGACTGACATTTGGCAGCATTAAAATTTAGTAAATGCATCAACATAGGAATATTAACAACGCATATGTATACTTATTCACCAACCAGTTCAGGTTTCATAAATCATACATTCACACCTATTCATGGAAATTGCGCCCAACAAACAAAAGACATCAGCCTTTTAACAATTAAGTAAATCGCATATACATACATCAATAATATCTACAAGGGCTTGCGAACTAAATATAATCACATTATATTCCTGAATAAATAAAGGGACATCAACAAATCATCAGAAGAGGGTACCATCCCCATAAAATAAATACAGGCAGTAATGTGGCTGCATCACTTGGTAACAGTACGACTAGCGTAACATGCAACACATAGGGCGCGTTTGTTTGGAACAAATCCGTCTGATCGAGATCATATGATCCTGATCCGACCAAACAAACGCAAAACTCACTTTCGCCGGTTCACGTTTCGCTGTGACCTATTATGGGATGTTCATAACAAGTTCATAACAAAGAACAAGCTGTGAGACACGCGGGCTGCCATATTGGATCCCGTTCGAATCTGCCTCGCTAGCAGGGTCGGGTTCGGTGGATCGAGATCAAGTGATCCGACCAAACAAATAGTCAGATCAACGAATCCATCGGATCGAGATCCGTGGATCCGACCAAACAAATGCGCCCATAGATTGCTGTAATCGCGAAATAACTTAACCACGCATTACAGAATTCCGTTCCTCATAATGCTCGGTCAATGAATCTGGTCTCCGTCTTACATCTGCTGTTTGTGTTTACTTATTATGAACTGTATGAACAGCGCTTCTATCAACACCCTTTACGTGTCAAGTAAGACAAGTATATGTAATACTAATAGAAGTAGTACGATCTATTTCTGAGAATTATGCATGTAAAACCTGATGGCTAATAAGGGTAACTCCTACAAGCATTGATAAAGTTCCATAATACTCGATCAACATTGCACTACCACTGTAGAAACTATGTAGCATGTACATACGCATGATCACCTCTTACTCCGATGCCACTTCTAGCGTTTGTATTTCTCACATACCCACAATATTTTTGAGGATTTGATTGACGTATACTTCAGGCCATCAACAAACCACATTATCCTGCCTAATCACAGCAATAACTATCAAATACTATCCATTCATGAGACACAATTTCAATGCGTCACGGGAGGTATCAATTTTTATTGTCCAGTAACTTTCAAAGAGAGAGAGAGAGAGAAAGAGGAAGGGAGGTAGAGAGTGAAGGAAAGAGGTAGGGATCGGGAAGAAAAGTGGGAGAGACACAGACAAGTAGAGAGATATAGGAAGAAAAACAGATTGATAGAAAGCATAATTTTCGTGTCAACTACCCAAAAATGTCGGCAAAATCGTCGGCTGGTTTCTGCTGCATGACTGGTTTCTGCTGTCCCATCATGCCTTGCTGTCCCATAATGCCTTGCTGTCTCATATTGCCTTGCTGTCCCATCATTCCTTGCTTTCCCATCATGCTTTGCTGTCCCATCATTGTTTGCTGTCCCATCATGCTTTGCTGTCCCATCATGCTTTGCTGTCCCATCATGCTTTGCTGTCCCATTATGCCCTGCTGTCCCATCATGCCCTGGTTGGCAGTGATTGGCTGGCCCCCCATCGCCGTTGGTCGCATCGGCGAGTTTGAGAAAGCCATGCTTCCGACCATCTGCTGGGGGAACGACGACGACGGTGAACTTAGTCGCTGCTGCGGCAGCTGATACATAGGTGGCGCTTTCTGCGGCGCGCCAAACAGGTTGTCGAGTGCGGGCGCGGCTTTCTGACCGCCGGCGCCGCCAGACGCGAACGCCGCCTGCTGGAAGTTTCCGAAACCGTTGCTTGCGGCGGCGGGCGGCGGCAACGGACGCACCGGCCGCTGCGCGAACATCGCAGCGCCCCCTACGTTCGCCGGCGCCATCCCGTAACCCGTCGGGTTTGCCGCCGCGGCGCCGAAGGTCGGAGCCTGGCCGGTGGGGGGCACCGCCGTCGCAGAAGCGAATCCGCCGGCGTGGGTCGTCGGCGACTGCGCGCTCCCGCTGTAGCCGCGTGGGGAGGATGCGGCGGGAGGTGGCGCCCCGCCGCTGCCAAGCGTCGTCGTCAGGTCCCTCCCGGACGTCGTCGCGGACGTCGCCTCAGGTGGCGCCCTCGGCGTCTGCTGGGCTTTCATGCGCTGCGCCTGCTCCTGTTGCCGTGCCAACCGTTGCTTCTCCTCCATTGTCATCGATGCGCCCTGCAGCAAGAGAGAGCAGGCATCGAATAATGACATTAGTCATAATGATAATAATTAAAAAAATAAACAGTAATAATAATAATCATCACATCGTCGATAATGTTCAAATTCCACAATAATAATTCAATCATGATAACAGTTACAATAATATTGCTGAAATGCTTAATTAATAAACCAGATTGGTACAATAATGATCTTAATCATAATAACATCTACAACACTAACGCTGCTAATGTTTTAAACTCATATGAATGCTACACTAACAATCGTAACGATCTTAATCATAACCATATTTACAATAATATCGTATATGACGTTTATTAATTAATTCGAACGGATACAGAAAGAATGACGACACTACACAGATGGCAGAGACCATACCTGGCCACTATTCGGGATCGCTGGCTGGTCTGGCGATGTGACTGAAGCCACCTGAGGGTTGGAGTTCATGTCACCAGCAGACTTTGGTTGCAGGTACCCTCCCAGTCCAAAACCACTGAAAATGTGCTCCATCTGAAAACGCAAGGAAGAGTAGATTTCTGAACGAATAACTGATTTAATGTTAAAGGATAACTTAAAGCATTACATGAGTTTAAATTTTCCTAAAACCTTATCCCAGAAGGTTTATCTCAAATAATTGTACATAAATTTTACTCCTATTTATTCCTACATAGATACATATAATAATACACTTGGTAGTACTTGTACCTGGTATATGCGATAAAGAAATATTTAAAAATTCAGCACATAGAAATTACGCAAGAACAAGAGCGAGGACAAGTGATTAGGATTTCGCGTTGGCGATGTTAGGAGAATAGAGATGCACTCACATCGCTCTCTGGCTTCTTCTCAATGCCAGAGATGAGATTCTGTGGCTCCCCGCCGGTATTCACGCTGCGACTAAACTCCAGGCTCGACCTGCAGGAAAGAAACACACATACATACGCACGTATGCACGCACACGCATGCACGCACGCACGCATGTACGCACACGCACGCATACACGCACGCACGCACGTATGCACGCACACGCATGCACGCACGCACGCACACGTGGAAACGAGACTGATTGACCAATTCACCACAAACGTGATGACCATGCGTGCCTTTGATATTGTTGGCATGGTGGTTCGGAAGGGTAAAAATGACAACTTAAAGGAGATAGCTTTACATATTGGAGTAACATCAAAACAAACAAAATACAACTCTGGTACGAATTTTTCGGCTTCTAACGGAGACATGCCCACCCATTAGATGTTTGAGAGAATATACAAATACATCTATTTTTTTGGGAAAGTGAGGGGAAATCACACACACGCGCAGTTTCCTTACTTCTGCTCCATCTGCATTTGGTTGAGTTGCTCCAGCTTGCTCCGATGCTCTGACTCTACCCTGTTCAACATGTCCCTGATCACTGTCATAAACGCGTTGAACTGAAAACGCAAGGCACCGTAATGCGACACTTTAGTCAGTTTTCTGCAACACGTTTGTTCAGTACACGTGTAAAAGCCACCGAAAGAGAACAAGAAGAAGTCGTCATGTACTGCTGCTTATAGCTTGTTATCGTGAAAAATATTTTTTTCATCATGCGAAGTCTTATTAGTGACTCGTGTGCAGTCGTGTCTGGGTGTGCTGCTTTACCTGATTTAAACTGAGGTTGTTGTCAATACTGATGACGAACAGAAACGGCAGGACTTTGGTGGCCATGATCTCCTTTGTTATTCCCAGCTTCTTGTGCGTGAGTGTTTGCTTGTATATACCTACATTAAGCCATTAAGGTTATATTTATTTATATGTATATATACATATATACATCACGAACGCACGCACGCATGCAAGCACACACAAACACACATTTATTTATTTATTTATTTATATATATATATATATATATATAGTTTTACAATGTTAAAATTTAGATGTCAGGATCTAAAACAGGATCGCTGGGCACTCCCAATGTTATTCCATCCCACTGTCACACCCACTAACATTTCTAGTATCATTCTAGTTGACATTCCAGAGTCACTCCCAGTAACATTTCTAGCATCATAATGAGCGACATACATCACAGTTGCATTTCTAGTGTAATTCTAAGTGAAATTCCCAGTCACATTTCCAGTGTCATTCCTAGCATCATTCCTGTCATTCACAGTGTTATTCTGAATGTCATTCCCTGTGACACTTTGATTGTCATTCTCATCGACATTCCTAATGTCATTCCCTGTAACTTTTCTAGTGTCGTTCTCCGCGGCATTTCCAGTGTTATTCCCTGTTTCATTCTGACCGCCATTCCCACCGCTACCATCATTCCCCAACCGCATTCCAGAATTCTCACCGAGGATTCCCATGAGGACGGCGGGCTCGCGCGATGGAATCTCGCGCAGCATCGGGAAAACCTCGTCCAACACGAGCCACTTATCGAAGCTCTCCAGCAGCTTGCCGAGGCACACGAGGCAGTTGACCCGCACCTGAGACACGACAGGTCGAGACGCTGAGATGGCATCTCGTGGTTTCCGATTACGGGAAGCGAATTAGTTGCGGGAGAAGACAACGTACGACGGCACTGGGCATGCGCAGATTCCGAAAACGAGCTTCCAAGGGGAGCCGAGAGATGGCAGCACTGGGCACGCACAGGTTTTGAAAAAATTTCCGAGAGCAAACAAAAGGTGACAGTACTGCGAACACAAGGGTTCTGAAAATGAACTTCTGAATAGACCCAAGAGATGGCAACAGCGGTCGCATGTTAGGGGAGACAGAAAGAGATAGAGGGGAAGACTCACCGAGTGTGCGGTGGAGTGTAGGCAGATTTTCTTCAACCTGGGCAGCACTGCGTTCTTCATCGAGGCGTATTCGATTCTCGTGGCAAACGATGGAATGATGCTCAGGCACAGCTCCTGACGAACGAAACGAAACACACCGCCATCATGTCACGTTGAACCAGGAGTTGTACAGCCATAGTAGGCGGTGCACGTATACATGCATGCCTATGTACGGTGTTTATACATCGATATCGTCCGACTTCTGTGGTTCACGTACTTGAGGTGTTACATTTCACGAGTGGGAAAAGACGTAAACGAACCATGCACGTAGAATTGGGCAACCATCTGGTGTTTCCCTCTATGATTTACACCCTCTATTGTTATCTTTGACGGGGCTAAGCTACCCTCAGTTGGTTACACCCTCCGCTGTTATCTTACGAGGACAGGAGAGGAGACGTATGCACACCAGGGAAAAAATAAAATTTATTTTTCGGGGGCTACTTTTCAAGCTCGCGTGCATGAAAATAGCACTCTAAAATTTGGTTTGCATTGAACTCTATGCAAATTTACTGGGGCTTTTTTGGGCATTTCCGGGGCTCTTTTTGGCATTTCGGGGGCTAAATCGCCCCGAGCCCCCGTGTATTTTTTTCACTGATTTGCACACCTGTATCTGTGGGGTGTCTGACTCCAGCGCGCGGTAAACCATGGGTAGAACGTGGTTCTTTATGTCGTCTGTCGAAGTCTTGGACAGCAGCAGCGACATGTTCTGCATGAAGATCAGCAGAATCTGCAAGGGGAGAAGAAAAACGAAGGGTCAGGTTAGTTTAAAAAGAGAACAGAAAGAAATTGAGAAGAAAATGTTTTGCTTAAGCCTAGGACACACTAGCGATTCTGTATGCTGCCCGGCAGCGTATATGTTCGCTCACGATTTTAGAACGCCGTACGAGTTGCGCGTACAGCTGGACACACTGTCCGGTGTCAAACCACTCTAACGGCTTTCCTAGCTTTCGTTGCTACACTTGATTGGCTGCGGAAAACAATCGCGTTCGAACACGATTGTTCATTGTTGGGCGCGCTGGTGCAAGCGCATGCAAGCGCATGCAAGCGCATGCGCTGTACGCAAGCGATGAAAAACCGGGCGGAAATATTCAACATGTTGAATGCGAGCGATCAGCCGGGCGTATGGGATCGCGTGCGAAATACGCTGCCGTGAGACCGGACACACCGCACGGACCCGGCACCGTATTTATCGATCGCAAGCGGCCAGCGTCGAAAATCGCACAGTGTGTCCTAGGCTTTAGAGGAGAAGAGTAAGCGAGAGTCGAGTTAGACAAACGGGAAACGCGGAACACGGCGTGAACACGCATGTACACGTGCGTGCTCGCAAGGTCTTTGCAAACAAAGAACGAACTGAGACCCAAGCGTGTTAGAGTAACCGTCAAACAAACACTAAGCACGAACGACGTTCGCACGGCACTTTGGCAAATGATTCTGTCAATTTTCAATTTCTATTCCAATCGATTTTTGCAATTCAATTTTTACAATTCGATTCTTGGAATTCAACTCTGTTCAACTTGGCGCAGACATGCAATAAGGATTTGAAATCAGCAGTAAAAACAACTAAAGAGACTCTTGCTAAGCCGTGGGTTAGTTGACTCAATCACGCGTGTGTGGCATCAACGCGATACCTGTATCGGCTCCGTGAGTTTGAACACGGGTTTCAGATCGGGCAGGATGAGTTCGCTGTACTCCTGTCCGGAACTTTCCTCGGCGATTAGCAGCACGTTGGGAAGCACGAACGGGACCATCTCAGGATTGACAAACTCCTTGCAGAGAGATGGCAGCACGCGCTGATGCTTCACCCTCTGCAGCAGACAGAAGATGATGCGATTAAAACTTACAGCCAGTATAAAAAATACGAAATAATTAAAATAATTAGGAACTGATGCAAAAATATTTAAGAAATATAAGACAATTAAAACAAAGCAAGATCCAAAAAATAATTTAGAAATATAAAATAATTAAAACAAGAGCTGCAGAGCGTCTGGGCTCATCTGAGGTATGTTGCTACGATTATAAACGTAACATTTAAGTCGTGCGTAGTGACACCTTTGTTAGGCGCAGATATGCAGATACACAGTTGCGTACACATCATTTCAGCAACCTTCTGCATTCTGCATACCTCCCAAATCCCATTGCTTGATACAAATCGCGTGCCTGAAACTCTTGTTTTATGGTGCATTGTGACCCTAACCCTAACCCTATTAAAAAATTGAAAAATTAAATTGTTGTAAAAATTATTTGTTGTTATGAAATTGTTGTAAATAAATCATGTAAATATTTTCCTTAATTGGAAAGAAATAGTTAAATGGATAAAGATAGAAAAATACAGAAAACAGGTAAATAATAAAAAATCTGATGGGATTCGATCCAAGGACCTTTGAGCCGTAATCTTGTGCTGTAGCCGTTGGGCTATTAAAGCATATTGGGTTTCCAGATTATGGATGTGCCATGAATATGAGAACACTGTGACATCATTGAGGCAGTTCAGGAATCCCTGTTTAACCCTCCTCTTGAGGGTCAAAAGGTTATCACACACTTACTCTTTGCATGTCAGTGGAAAGCACATTTCATGGTCCTTTCAATAAAATGAATAAAAATGGTAGGTCAACGCTAAAACAAAAAAGTTTTTCACTCTGTCTGTTATAGCCCATGTCCTCAGAAAATGTTTGATATCTGACCTTTCCCCCACTGCCCTTTGACCTGTGACCTCTAATTTTGACACAGTGATGGCTTTTCCTACCATGATGCTATACACCGACTATCACAAGCCTAGGTCGAGCCGTTTAGATTTTTGCTGCAATTCTGCCTTTCCTCCCTATACCTTAAGTTAAGGAGGGAATGTTCCCCCTTCTTTTACACCTCTTGACCTTTGACCTTTGACCCCCAGCTTCGACATCCCAACTCGTTTTCGGATTACCCCCCTACGTCCCGACTTTCAAATCCGTACGACGAGCGGTTAAGATTTGTGCCCAACTGTTGACGGACGCACGCATGCTCATGCGATTCTACAAGCTGCATCCGACTACGTCAGATGAGCTAAAAATCAAGCAATACCACAGAAATTAGTAAGAAATAGTCTACCCAACACGCCAAGTTTTTGCGCTGTGGTCACCGATGCGTGACACGTAGGCATGTACACACGCAGCATCTACGCACGCACCTTGGGAAGTTTGGCTAGAATCTTTGGCAGGCCTTTGAAGAACTGCGACTTCTGGAGGTTGTCACGCTGGAACAGTGAGTCGAGGTACTGCAGCGTCATCGCACCGACGTCCTCGAAGAACGGAATCTAAAACAGACGACGTGAACGTCGTCAATCGCTGATCATCGTTGATCATTGATCATTATCGATCTTTGCTCATCATCAATCTTTGATCATCATTGATCTATGATCATTGTTGATCTTTGATCATTATCGATTGTTAGTCATCATCGTTCATTGATTATCATCAATCGTTGTCCATCATCGATCTTTGATCATCCTCAGTTGTTGATCGTTATGCATGTTTGATCATCATTGATTATTGGTCATTATCTGTGTTTGATCATCATCAATCATTGATCATAATTGATCATTGATCATAATCGATCATCGATCATTCACGTGTGTATAAGCACCGAGAGATATCTGCTACAAGGCAATTAATACCCTCATGCATTTCTCGGGGGGAAAGACGAAAGGGGAATGGCTTCACCTCACCTTTGAGAGTTGATCAGAATCTGGTCTGAGCGCCGGAGTGGCATTCAGCAACATCTTCACGTGTGCCCGTGCATCGTTTGGCACACTGCCAAGACTCGACGCGTGTAGGCTCTTGAACTGTTGTGAAGAGAGACTTTTTATAATATGATAGATGGCAAAGCATACATACGCACGTTAAATCATCTTACATACGTTATACGCAAATGCTAATCGCAGCACGTGCCATAAATGGAATGAAAAACCTCTGTGAAACTTGGTTAAGTTTTAACATGTAGACTATCTTCAAAGTATCAACTAGCTAACGGATTTTAATCGATTAAAATTGTTGAACCGCACTGAACGCCTTTTGCACGCCGACGCCATCTGCTGGCGATATACCTCACCTTCTCGCAGTTCCTCTTGTAGGTGCTGTACGTGTGGCAGTCGTCGTAAAGCGGCTTTCCCTCGTTGAAGACGGCGTAGAACACCATTCCCAGAGAAAACATGTCGCTGGCCCTATCACAGGTCATCGTGAGCGCAAATTCGGGAGCCAGGTAGTTGAGGCTCGGCTGAGCCAACGGAGCGACGCTGCTGTCCCATTCACAGAATGGATAAGACGGCTGGAGCAGACGCAAGGAAGAAAAACTCGAGATGAAATCGATCGGCGGCGATCGTTCGATGCTTGCAATCAGAGTTTCACGAAGAATCGAAAGAAATTATCGAACCGACGACAAAAATAGCGACGAACGAATCAGCGACGAAATTTAGCGAATTAGCGAGTGGCGAAACAAATTAACGAGTGACGGCGAGTCTTCGAAACACGGAATGAGAAAAATAATTGACACTTGTTCAGAAGCGTCGTATCTATGACAACCGTTGTCGTGGTATATCGCACCTCCTGATCCTGGGGATTGGAGCTCGGAACGGAGAAGTCGAATCCCGCGATTTTCCACGCTCCGTTTGCGTTGATGACGATCGACTCCGGGGCTATGCCACGATGCATGATCTTCAAGTCGTTGTGCAGGAATGAAAGACCCTCTGTAATCTAAACACGTTAAGTCTGCGTTAATCACTTGTGTTACGGCGACAGCGACTGGCTTCAGACCACCAAGGTTTCGCGAAAGATACGTATGTACGTACAGTCAAACTTGTATTTAAAGGTAACTCAGGGAAACCACAAATTGGCCTTTAAACACAGGTGGCTGTTCTACAGCCGTGGCTTCGTAGATGCATGAATTTTACATTCTTTCGTTCGCTCGATGTGTAGCTGTACATACATGTGCTCGCCATCGAGCGTTTGACACGTGTAACTTTACCTGTAGCATATATGTGTAATTCCTTTGCCACAGATATTGGCATCAAGCGTTCGACGCGCGTAACTTTACCTGTAGCAGTCCGTACTTTATCTCGACCTCAAACAGCTTGTAGTCGGCAAAATCTGGCGGCATAGGGTTTGGCATGTTCTCGTGGTTTCCGAGAACGTTGGCAAGACTCGCAAACACCGGCTCTGTCGCGAACGCCAAGCTCTCGCTGCAAAGGCAACAGTCGTCGAACTCAAGCATCGTAAATTGGATTACTGTAACGAATAAACGAGCATTTTTACACACCTACAGCCTGTTGAATAAGCCACTGCATATGTGCTCTGTCATGTGGTATTATTAATGTCACAAAGCTTTCTAAATTGGTCTGCAGGTGGCGCTGTGCAAGCCGTTACCGTGACTCTTCCATGGAATGCTGCACGGTGAGCAGTCTCGGATGTCTCAGCCTCGTGAGCTGAGACACTCCCTTCCGGCATGCCTCGAGTATCAGATCTCTGTCCGTCTTGGTGTACCTGTCCAGAACTTTTTTCTCTAGGATGAATATGGCAACAGGCTGAAACGAGAAAAATATCATCGCTTTAAGTTCGCCGAGTTTAATCATTTAGGAACGGGAAATGTACGTGTAAGGTTATATAGTTTATACTTTACAGTCTTTACAAGTGAAGTGTGTGTATAGTTGCTTATTCAGGTTATTGAAGATTATTTTATTTATTATTGTTCTAACTATGACACAACTTCTACACATGATATAATATGTTATAATTATTCGCGTGTTAGCATTTATTTCTCTTTACCTGTTTTGTCGATCGCTTTACCCCTGCGTAAATCTTCCACAGCAACCCTGGTCCTGCGCTCCCAACATGTCTTACGACTTCAAACTCCCTTGTCACGGGATTTCCAGGCAGATACTGCGATGCCGTTGATACCGCCGACTTCAACTTGTTGAGGTAATCCATACCTACATATAAATACTCATGAATGTCATTACATACTTCTACTACAGCAGTATCCTGTTTACGCAGTGTTCTGTGTTGCGGTTCTGCGGTGTTTGATGACATACGGACACATGCCCTTTTGACATATTACATAAATAATATACACCTATAATTTTGTGCAACAGCTACAATTAATAAAAGAATTACCTATATATAAATAAACAACGTTCGACAAGTATTACGTATAGCTGATAAACTAGAAGTAAATAACACCAACTTCACAAATATTTTTCTTCCATTTTCAAACCAAGTGAGCATCTCAAAATAGAAGTTGATGTGGTAGGAATTTCATACGACACGCACTGTTTGCCGTGGATTTATAATCAAAACTTATCGATCGCCGTCACAATTTTTAATTTAGAAGGAGTATAATATAAAAATAGCTCTATTAACAGCAAAGGTCCGCAATGGCGAGCGTTGTAACGGAACCTCTATCTCTTGAAAAAGGTATATTGAATATTATGCTAGGCCGCTTAGGCGTTTTAGGACAGCACCAGGTATAATTCGTACCGGTATATCATATTCATAATCATGTAATGACTAATGTCCGAGTAATGTCAAATGATGTGTTGTCTATTGACTAAGCCTATTTGTAATCATGTATTGTAAATGTATGATGTCATATCATATGCCATTAGGTCATCGAAGCGATGCATGAGGACCTGTACGTTTATAGCCACACCAGGCGATTAGTACAGTATCAGATAAGACATAATTATATATGCACTTCGTAGGGGTATTCAATTTTGACGGCACAATCATAGTTTGGGACCCGAGTCCTCATTGTCGCAAATGTGCTAAACTAATTCGGGGTGCTCAACTAGGATTAGGCCCCATCATCATCGTTGACGTTGTATGAGCTATGAGCGGTGCAGGGTGCGTGTGTATATATACCCTAGGCTAGGCTCAGCGGTCCTATCCTCCATCGCCATAAATATACGCAGTGGCTGGAGGTACGCCAGCCGTATCTTAATGTCTCGAGGCTACGGGTACGGCAGTCCATTTGCGCATGCGTCGCTTTCCCACACCATAGATTAATTTGGTACTATGACACGTGTATATAAGATAGCCGAGTCGGTTTAGAGTTAGTGTTAGGGTTAGGGTTGGGGTATGGTTAGGGTTAGGGATAGGGATAGGGATAGTGTGACTGTTTGTACTTGTGTGTGGGACTGCTGTACCCGTAGCCTCGATACATTAAGATAAGGCTGCAGCGCATGCGTAGTGTGACTACCATACCCGTAGCCTCGATACATTAAGATACGACTGCAGCGGATGCGTAGTGTGACTACCGTACCCGTAGCCTCGATACATTAAGATACGGCTGCAGCGGATGCGTAGTGTGACTGACGTACCCGTAGCCTCGAGACATTAAGATACGGCTGCCGTACCCGTAGCCTCTGCGATAAATATAATGAACGTTCTGTCTCTTCGCGGCAGACGTGAGCCGGGCGATCGAGCTGCTGGGTGCGCTGCAGCAGAGCGGGGAGCTGCCGGGGGCGAGGCTCGCCGCGCTCCAGCGTGTGCTGCAGAGCGAGTTCTGCACCGCCGTGCGCGAGGTCTACGAACACGTCTACGAGACCGTCGACGTGCACGGCCCGCCAGAGGTCAGGGCGAGCGCCACCGCCAAGGTACGCGGTCTATATATCTGCTCAACACTATCAGATTATTGCGTAATATTCACTATTGCATCTATCAGATTTTTGATATCCATGAAAAAGACAGTCTTCAGTACATGTATTCGTATTTGCAGTTTAAGATATAATTACATGCAATAAAGATTTAATAATAATAATAATAATAATAGGTACATTAAGCACCGATCCCCGGTAACCTCGTGGGAGGAGGGATTGCGTCGCTGGCCTTGCTACTGTCCTGTACTAAGCCCCTGCCATAGTTTTACAGTTCAAATTGTAGATATTACTTGCAGCGAAAGTGTAATATGTGCGTATATTCCGCATTCGGAAACTCGTCGACGATTCCACCATGGCGTGCGAAGCGCCTCACATTATTATCATGATCACATTTTTTTTTTTTTTAATTATCACATTTTATTTAACAAAATCAAATAAATTCTCGTTCCATTCCCGTCGATTCCCGATCGAATTCCGCTCTGCGGAAACTTCTCTCGCTCGCTCTACGAAACTTCCGTTCTCGTTCTCGCAGGCGACGGTGGCGGCGTTCGCGGCAAGCGAGGGACACTCTCACCCGCGCGTCGTAGAGCTGCCGAAGACAGAGGAAGGTCTCGGCTTCAACATCATGGGCGGCAAGGAGCAGAACTCGCCGATCTACATCTCACGCATCATCCCCGGCGGCGTTGCCGACCGACACGGAGGGCTGAAGCGCGGCGACCAGCTGCTGTCCGTCAACGGAGTCGTGCGTGTTCGCTTGTTTCTTCTTTTTTTCTCGTGTCGCATTTTTCTCGCGTCGTTTGTGTTTTTCTCTCGTGACATCGCTATTATTTAGATGCAGAAGTCGGTCATAATTTTAATGGCCCTGTTGTCTTAGTCACATGTTATTGATGTCCAGACAGAACTAACTGCTGACATAAGCAAGTGTGAGGGTTAATGTGTGTGGATATTTGTTACGATGTACTGGCCATTGTTAATGCAAGTCAGACAGATGCCATCTGTGTGTTTCAGAGTGTGGAGGGGGAGCACCATGAGAAGGCCGTAGATCTACTCAAGGCTGCCGAAGGTAAGAACCGTGAAGCTCTTGCCTCTTCGTTGCCACCCTAGCAGTGTATCGCGAGAAAAGTCGCTTTTAATTTGTATGCAGGCAAAGAGCCTATATTGATAAATATAGGCTGTTTGGTGCAGGTCACGTTAGTCATATTCACGTATATGAACACAAAAGTACACGTTTTTGCCTCTCCATCACCACCCTAGCAGTGTACTGTGGCTGAAGGGGTCGTTGTCGTATCAGGTACTACATATATGTACCCGAGGTACGTATATGTAAACACAAAGTGTACTAGACTTGTACTACAGAAGTGTACCCTAACCCTAACCCTAAACACAGCGTACATATATGCTGAGAAGATACAGGTCTGGTATACATATACGTACCTCGTGTACATATATGTAGTACCTGATACGACAACGACCCTTTCAGCTGTACTGTGAGCAAAGTTGCTTTGAATTAATGTGGAGCTCATGATATTCATTGATGTATATGAACAAGTTTTGGTTTTATGCCTGTATAATAAAGTTGTGCAGCTTTCCTAGCAGATTATTTGGCCAGTTTTGATTCATATTACATTTTGTTGACATATGATTGAAAATTAATAATAAATGCGCAAATATTCACAGTTAGTAAGTAAAGGCAAGGTGCAGTTGCGAATTTTAGTACAATGTAAGAATCGTTTCTACTTACGCTCTGTATTTTCAACTGTAGGTAGTGCCAAGCTGATTGTACGATATACACCAAAGATACTTGAAGAGATGGAGGCACGCTTCAGTCGACAGTTTAACAGACGCAGCAGGCAGACGCCATAATAGCAACCGTCCTCGTCAACAGGTGGCAGCACCTGCACATTAGATTAGCGATTCGCCATTGTGGCGCGTAAGTCCTCTGTTAGGACCTGCATTTGTTAGGCATAAGAGATGTAGTGATAGTTATAATAATATTGCAAGTAAGCAGGACACAACATACTTACATATTAGTAATATGTAATGTAAAAGGTTTTCGCACTGTGTGTATGCGGGGAGTATGTCACAGTCATTATTTGAACTATAGTTTGCCATATGCTACATCATTACATGAAACGAGTGGCTGATGCCATTTGTTGACAATAATAATCTAGTTTGGTTGCACCACACTTTTAATGATAACGTATGTTCTTTGGTGTTGTTAAATGCCGATTTTTAGCATTATGCACTGAATACGCACTGGGGAATTCCAATCTAGAAAGGTATCTGGCCTTTGTAATATGTGGCAAATATTGTCTTCCTTTGTTATCATGTTATGTTTAAAGAGTTCAACTTGCTCGACACACTATGGGCTTTGCAGCGGCAAGGAGTCTGTATTGTATATCATCACAGACGATCACAGACACGCAAGTTCTAAGTCTTCGCTTGTTAACTCTGCGGTGTATTTACTGCTTTGTTTTCGTTGATGACCCCAACATCAACATTCATTTACGTGTATCTACTGCGGCATGTGTGATTGTATTGTAGAAGCCATCACGTGTCTTCTGTAGGACTTGTCATTCGCACTCACGAATGCATCTTGTGAACACTCGGCAGCCAATTTTTTTTTCGTTCTGTGAGAATGCGGAGTACCGCTTCTATTTATTGTCCAGAGTTTCTAGATGTTTTTGAGTTATCACATTCTTCTGTCTAGTATTATTTTGGTACTTGAGGTGGAATTTAAATGTGCTTTACTGGTTAAAGATTTTAATAGCGTCCGGGTGTAGAAAAATGTATTTTAAGTACGATTATGGATAGATTTAATATTATCAGAAGTAGATAATTCCCTATTATAGTACCGAAGTGATGACGTCACGGTGGCATGACAACGAGCCTGCTGGTTCTACACAATCATATGCTCTGG